CTCGATTGCACAAGTAATTGAATCCAACGTAGTTTGAACTTGGTCAAATGTTAAGCCATTAATTGCAAAGTACATGCGAGTTAAATATTTGAATTCATGCAAGGTATACCCCGAGAAATCAGCGAGCTCCCTCGTAATATGTTGAACTCGATCCGCTATAAAATCAGTATGATGAATGACATCTTGCAACAATTTAGAGTTTAATTCGGTATTAATTCGCGTTAAGTTAACAACAGTAAGAGTATCATCCATAATTGCCGAAAGATGCGACTGTGACAGTTGCAAATTGGAAAGTTGGGACTGCAGATATTCGATATCCTCATCTGTAGCACTACCGAATAGCCACTTAGCCAATTTACCCACTCCAGCTATTAGAGCTCGCTTAGCTCGCGGATTATGCAGCGAATTCATGTCATGGACTCGTGCAGTTAAAAAATCATACTTCTGAAACCATTTTAAATGAGTCCGAAGCATTTTGTACAAATCGTGCGCAAAAGCCTCCGTAGAGTACACAGGCATGTCGACAATGATTCCGTATCCTGCCTCTCAACTTTGGAAGAAAATCTAACCTCCAAAAATGTGATTTTGCGAGGGAAACCTTGAAAATCTGTACACAATCTATAAATAGTTTGGCCAACCAACGTTATTAATCTCTGTTGTTTCAAAGCCTGTGTCTTCACCGCCGCCGTAGCGTAGTCGGTAGGAGATCGGTTTCATAACCCGAGATTCCGGGTTCGAATCTCAGCTGGGGAAAAAAAATTTCTCCTTTACTTTTTGACTTTTTGCCTTCTTGTTCTCCTCTCGCTCCTCCTCGATGTCCTTCTCCTTGATGAGCACTGAGCTCAGTAGAAACCCTACGCGATTAAAGTGTTACTACTGGTTTGGTCTATATTTCTCCCTCTTACTCAGGTTATCACTAAGCTTAGTAGACGCCCTGCACATTGAACGCGCACGCTGTGTTCCTCCCTCGTACCTAGCAGCTCGTCGTAGAGTCCTTTCAGGTCCTCCTCCTTGCTGTGTCCCTCACCTTTCTCCACGTCGCTCACCTCCGACGCAGCCACCTCCTTGATGAAGTGGGCCGTCGAGGAGGGAGGAGCCCCTCCCTCCTGCGCACCGCCCCCTCCCCCGCCGGACTCCTGCGTTCTCGGGGTGGATGAGTGGAGTGGATGTGGCATCGATGGGGTGGCGGGCAGAGAGAAGAAAGGAGTGTTTGGCTGCGAAGAGCCAGCCGATCCCTCCTTGCTCTGCTGCTGCTGCTGTTGTTGCTGCTGTTGTTGCTGCTGTTGCTGCTGCTGCTGCATTTTAGCGCCACCTAACAGTGCGAGAAATGAAAACGTGTGAAATCAATGTTTTCGTTCTGCCTTTTGTGGCACGGTGACACCGACAGTAGCAACGAAACTACTCCACACATGCCTGTTCCCAATCTTCTTAAGGGGTTCCACAGTCACTGCCAACCAATACTTGAAATGGCCACTCAAATTTCTTGCACATTTGGAAATTTGTTGATTTGATGAGGCACGGACAGCTACCGCTTAAGTTTTACTACATCTCCCCACACCCCATCCCCTTGTGCCACCCCCAAATGCCCCAAACCACCACCCTACCCCACTGCCCCACCCCAGCCTGTGTTAGCCCACGCATAAACGACACACACCGTCAACCCAATCGTTGTAATGTAACCCAACCGAGAGAATAGGAAGAATTGAAGGGGGTCTAGCATAAACAGTTTCAGTTTCAGTTTTCCTTACCGGTTTCAGTTTTGTTTACCGGTTTCGGTTTTCGTTGAGGGTACGTAAGAGTATTTTCGTGGAACGTGATCGGCCGTTTTTATACCTCGTGAACTGTGAATTGCAATTTATTTTGTCTGTGAACTGTGAATGGACCACCTTGTGTGAAGCGTGATTTAGCTTTTATTTAGTCTGTGTATTGTGAATAAGAGGTCTCCTTCCTCGTGAATGTATGCATGTCAGGAGCGGATTTAGGTCGGTTTGCACCGGCTTCCAGAAACCGGTGACAGGCCTCAAAATTCACCAGAATGCACCAAATATAGCCTAATTTTTAAAAAAATCCCGGGGGGCATGCCCCCGGACCCCCCTAGCTGCAGATACAAAAAACATATGGAAACTATATATATATATATATACACACGCACGCACGCACGCACGCACGCACGCACACACACACATGTATAAGCATGACTACTGCACAAGCATATTTTTGATTTTCACAAGTGTTGTTAGTCAAGAAATACACTTGTATACTTCTAGGACCTTATCTTATGTGTCTGAAATTTTAGCTGTAAACTGGATTATCCCCGTGATCTGTGAAAAGAGCATTATTTTCACTGTGAAATGTGAAAAGCAGTTTATTTTCACTGTGAATAGTACCCCCCCCTCTTCGTTACCGATGACTTTTTGTCGTTAATAATTGTCTGTATGGCAGCAGGTACCGATCGCAATGGCGACCTGGCGAAGGAAAGGGTGAAATGTTGTTGTCGTTGAAATGTTGTTTTAGTAACGTTGTGATGGGAAATATAGGCTAGTGACATAGCTTATCGTCTTCGCCACGTTGGAAACCCCCCCCCCCCCGGTAAGAGGTAAATGCGGACATTCGTCATGGCGGTTTTGGGGGAGATACGTGAAATTACGCACGGCCGTTACAGTAATACTATATAGATGTATACAGTAGGGCCTATCTATAATAATATAATAGTAGAAAGAGCGGAGGTCTCATTTTCCGTATCACCTCCGAAACCGTGCCACGCATTCTCACGCGAATCGAGCTGGCCCCCTTCTGGACGTCCCAAATGAATTGCGCTACGTTAAAACACGATGTTTCGATCATAATTCGAATAACGATCCATAACTTGGAGGAAATTTTCTAAATTTTAATGCGTTTCAGCCTTGATAATCATTTCTGGTGTTTGCTGTACATCCAGCATTTCTCAATAAACACATGACACAGTTCCATGTCATAAAATACTACTAAATACTGTACACTATACGAGGGATACAAATAAGAGTACGGAGCAAAATGAGGGAGTGCGTTTTGTAACTGTCGTGATTTTGAACAATCTGCGTTGATAGGATTAGGGGTTCATAATGACAGACCTTTCAATCGTAAAGACCTTAATAATTATAAGTATATAATAATCAATGATAATAATGAATAATTACACACCTTGATAATTATTAGGGCTGTAACGATCGACCGAAATCGAATGGGATCAAGATTCTCTTCCCTCGATGCTATCGTCGATATTTTTCCGCGTATTTCCGATTCCACCCATTGCCGCATATACGACCGGCCGGTTATGCCACCCATGGTCGCATAACTGCAGCCGGTAGAGCGTTTACAAGGAAATCTCTGCGGCGGCGGCAGCAGGGGTCAAACCCATCTGGCCGATGGGTAATATGGTATATATATATATACAAATATATGCCTCCATTACACTGACAAGCAGGAAATATTGTTGGAACTACTTATCCATATTGCAATGCTTTTGCATCGAAATATGCATTTGCATGAAAGGTGGCATAATTTCATTTAATAATTTCATTTTCCTTTAGCTTTTGCAGTTTTTACCCGATCTCGGATCATCTTCAAATTTGGCATGAAGGTGCGTTATGGTAAAGCGAAGACGCCAGTCGTTTTTGGTGTGGGTGGAGTGATCGTTGCCATGGTAACAACATTTTTGTGGAAATATTGTAGAACCTGTAAGTTGTGCTGTTTTTAGCCGATTGTCATGGAATTTGGCACACAGGGCAAACACCCGAGACAACAGGGGGCGCTACTGTAGAGGTCGCTATTGTAGGGGGCGCTACTGGTTTGGTCTATATTTCTCTCTCTCTTACTCAGGGTATCACTAAGCTTAGTAGAAACCCTGCATGATTAAAGTGTTACTACTGGTTTGGTCTATATTTCTCCCTCTTACTCAGGGTATCACTAAGCTTAGTAGAAACCCTGCATGATTAAAGTGTTACTACTGGTTTGGTCTATATTTCTCTCTCTTACTCAGGGTATCACTGAGCTTAGTAGACGCCCTGGACATTGAACGTGCGCGCCGTGTTCCTCCCTCATACCTAGCAGCTCGTCGTCCAGTCCTTCCAGGTCCTCCTCCTTGCTGTGTCCTTCACATTTCTCCCCGTCGCTCACTTCCGACGCGGCCACCTCCTTGATGAAGTGGGCCGTCGAGGAGGGAGGAGCCCCTCCTTCCTGCGCGCCGCCCCCTCCCCCGCCGGACTCCTGCGTTCTCGGGGTGGGCATCGACGGGGT